GAGTTGTTGAAATAGAAAAAGTGTTTTTATCAATAGAACTGTTAAAAAAATTGCGGTCAGTTAAAAAACATGTTTGATAATATATTATAATAAGTACTTTTATAATCAAATTATTATTTTTTTATTTGGTAACAAAATTTTTTTAACCTCTCCTATTAGTAATCTTACAATAATATCCTTTAATATGATGTTGTCATATTTGATAATAGTAACTTTATTAAGGAATTGTGTAATTGTCATTATAAAAAATAAAATTATCTAATGAAAAAGAATTATCTAAAATATTCAACATTTATTACGAACGCAATTTTATAAGATACAAATTTTAACTTCATTCAAATGTAATTTTGGACGGAGCCAATTACATTGTGCCCCTTCTGAAGGGAATTTTTTATTCGGTCCCTGCACGTAATAATGTGTGTGACTTACTACTGTCGGAGCAGGCTCGAGGGATGTAGCACCACTTCTTCTAACATGACAATGAGGGTAACATTGTTGCAGACAGCATGCTATGGTGGGTTGGACCACCAAGTCCCACGAGATATATAATGTGTACATTAAATTTTAGTCTTGCTCTTTCAATTTGAATGAGACTTTTAGGGTTTGACAGTGCACGCGAAGAGCAAACTTGTTGACAATGAGAAAAAAAAATGAAGGCAATGAAAGTTACTAGCCTTGTACCCTAGTCTCTCACCACCAATCAGACACTAAAAATTAGAAATAGCAAGTGTGTGTCTTCATCATCTTATGCTTTATTTGGATAAATGGATAAATTTTAAATGAAAAAATTTGAGTCTAAAACAAGATTGTCTATTGAATTTGTATTTCTATTAGATAAGTAGGAGAGATAGTACTTTATTATAATAGTGTGTGTCTTCATCTTATGTTTTATTTTGATAAATGAATGAATTTTAAATGAAAAAAAAAAAAAATTATAGTCTGAAAAAAGATTGTCTATTGAATTTGTATTTCTATTAGATTAGAAGTAGGAGAGGGTAATTTATTACAATAATTGTTGGATTAGATCGAAAAGCAAGTTGAAAGGTGAAGGATGGACGAGTCATTTTTAAAAAAGGAAATATGTCTTCCGCTCTTATTTTATTAGTTGAATGGAAGGAACGGTAGTAAGGATGAATGAATGTATACATTTTTCTTATTTGGTCAAAATGAAAGAAATGAGATTTTATATTCTTTTATCATTATATCTTCCGTATATAATTTGTTCAAAATTAATTAAGAACAATAATATCACTTTACGTTATCCTTCTCTTTAGTCTCCTTTTCATTCTACTTTAAATGAATGCAAAGTTAAGATTGAGAAGGAATAATGCATTCGTCATTCCTTCCATTTCCTCCTCACAAGCAATGAAACTCTCTTCGGTCCCTCCATCTTTCCCTCTTCTTTCCAACTAATTGGAGCATGTATAATTGGTTCTCAAATTATTCTTAAGATTTAAACTTAAATTTTCGTTTTAAATTTATGCCATACACCTTTAAAATGATTGAATATAAATTCATTCGTTTCAATTTCTATGATTCAAATGGAGATTATTTATTTTTCAAGAAGAAAAAAAATTGTGACCCCTCACTCCTGGATAGTATGTGCAATCATATTAATATTGATCATTATTGGTGACTGTTGTGTGGATTTTGCTGAGAAGTAAGAGCAACTGATTTGAAACTATACCAACTTCCTTTCATTTTAATATGCTTTATCATACTTAAAGATGGTGTGAAATAGAAAAAGATATATATATATATATATAATTTTTAAAAACTGATATGGGCCTCTCTCTCATACGGGTAGATTCCAGCTTTCTTCCACTAGCCAATAAAATTGTGGTGAGACACAAGATTCCAAACATAAATGACAATCTCTCTCTCATGAATTTTCAAGTTATCTTTCGCTAATATATATATACACACTCAATGGTCCACACGCTCAAACAAGATTCCAAACATTATTAGAACTGAGAATAAAAGCATCATGTGACCCACCCTTTTCATTATATTCCAAACATTATTAACAAAAATTAAAGCTTGCTAGTTTCATCAAGTATATGTGAAATCAAGGTCAACTTCGTACATTCAATTGAGTGGAGAGATTTATTTTATTTTATTATATATTATTACTATTATTATTAATCCTATCTTTAGAGTTATCTTATTCAGAACCTAGTCTTTAGCCGATAATTTAGGCCAAAACATAGTTACACTGTAGTACCCATTCTTGAGTAGTGATACTCACACCGAATATTTACAGTGAATTGTTTAGTCGAATAATTTTTAGTTGACTGTTTATATCAAATACAACTAAGTGGAAGGCTCCACTTCTTTATTTGTTACATAATTGACTAATTAAAAGAATAAATTCATTAATTCACCGCAACTATTCTGTACAAGAATTATTTTCTCCCATTATTTTTATTTTCTCCCATTATTTGGTCCACAAGACGTATTCAATGAATGCTATATGGTTTGGTCGTTGAAGAGTCGGCTTGAAAACAATTATTCCTATATTTAAGTGAAAAAATCTATGAACTTACGAGTTTCTAATTTTTTTTTTAAGAAAGATTAAATATTAGTTACCAAAGACAAACGTGAAAAGTCGTCCTCTTTCATTGCCCTCTCTTTTTTATTTTTCTCCATTTATTATTATTATTACTATAATTATTTTACCCTCATAATTAGAATTGAAACAAATCAAAGTCAAAAGTGAAGGCTGGTATCGGTAAAGAATAGTTCTTTCACTATTGAATTTTTAAAAAGTTTAAGTACATGTATGTCCTTAAATTTAAGAATTTATATTCTAATTTACCCTTCTTTAACATAAAAAGGATAAAGGGAACAAAAATCCCAACCTTTCTTCCCGAACAAATAAAAATAATGAACTCCATTTGTCCCAAAATTTTTGTCCATATATTTATTTTGGAAGATCTCCAAAATACATGTTTCATAATCAATTGTCCCTCTATTTTCTAAAAGGTTCTATCTAATCATTATCTCTCTCTCTCTCTCTATATATATATATCGAAAAATAATCGGTCTAAGAAATTTATTCACACCAATCATAATAACCGTTGTAAATCTTCTTTTTCTAACTACATTAAAAAAAGGTACATCCAACGGTTATAGTTTGGTATGAATAAATTTCTTGTCCAGCCATAAACAAGAGATTAGTTCCGTGCGTGTGTGTATAGTATATAATGATGTAAAACATAAATTTTTTGATCAAAATTAAATTTAAGATTCCAATTAAGAATAGCCCTAAAAGAGGAATCTGCATAATTTGCAAAATTTTAAAATATTTATATTCACGTTACTTATGACCTAATGATACCTCATCACCTTTTAAAATAAAAAAGTTTATGGCTCAAGTCTCCGTATGAACAAAAAATGTGTGTAAATGTACTTTTTGTCGCGATTAAAGAAAAAAATCTTCACGTTAGTTTTCATATATGTATATATATACATACATATATATATGTAATCATAAAAACTTAACAAAATTAAATTAAGATTCTTGTTTAGATCGAATAGCCCTATCTAAAAAGAGAGGAATCAGCAGAATATGCATGTATAGGTCCCAATATATTAAAGAAAATGACATTGAACTAATAAAGTGAAGACACATAACAAACCGACCAGAACTCTTTCAGCTATAATAAGAGTACACAAGCATGAAATTAATTTCTTCTCTCCATCCACACTTGCCTCTCTCAGTTTAGGTTTGAGGTTGACTGAAATGAGTCCCATGCATCTCTCAACCACTTGGTACCAAAAAATCAAATCAAAACGAAAAAGATTTCAATATATAACAACAATCTATGGTACAAAAAATCTTTTAAATGTATCTAGAACCCACTTTAGTACTAGACCCTAGCCAACCTCAATCAGCCAAATCAACGCGTATGGTGGGAATCTATTGTGTGTAGATGTTGCATAAGCAACTTTGTCCATCATGTATGTTTGTCTCGTGACTACCTATTCCGTTTGGCTTCATTGAGAAATATATCTCCACTTTAGTAGCTAGTGTTAGAGAAAGAGCATAAGGCGCAAAACACATGTTCACTGTGGTTGAAACTCGAAACTCTTACCTCTTCTTTCAAAGGGAATAGGTTATATCATTTCTGCTAATTGGTGAGCGGTCGTTGTTGGGTGTTTTTTGTGACTAGTCTTTGCTATCCCTTATTCTGCCCAAGTGGGGAGACGCCCTTTCACATTCTCAGAGATTAGTAGGGTTGTTAAGGGGCTCTAAAGATTTGTGTCTACTCAGACACTCCAGGTTAACTAAAAACATAATGTAATTGGTCTTACTTTACCATATAAATGTTCGGTATATATATATATATATATATATGGGGGCGGGGGGTAGTTAAAAAAACATGAAGTTTTGGAGGGCAACTTTCAAATTCATTAACTCAAAATAAATACTTTTCAAAATCATGTATTTCTTTAAAATATGAGGTGGATTGTTAATTTGTCTAAATTACCCTTACTATTTTCATATACTCCGCATCACTTTTATCCATGTAAATGCGTACCTTTTGTGTGTGTGTGTAAATCATTTTGATAGCAAGGTCTGAATAAAGGTGGAGAAATTATTATATGATCCCGAAATCATTGATCTCTGTCAATTAACATTTAACAAATTAGTAAGAAGATGAATAAAATTTACACCATTTTGACACATTTGCTAATGTGTCAAGTTGACCGTATAATAATTTCTCGTAAAAGTGACAAAACTGCTTGCGTGTTGGCTGATTATTGGCCGGGACCATATACCCCCCGCGGCTGATTATTGGCCGGGACCATATACCCCCCGCGGTGCCCCGCGACTATATATGTAATAATTTCTCATTTTCCTTTGGTGGGTTAGGCTTATGGTGCCACGTGGCTATTGCCTATTTGTCCATATGCCCACCAGCATTATAGGATGTTTATTTGCCCAATAAAATGAAACGAGTTGTCTTAGTGGTTGACGTGGAAGATTGGAAATCCATTATATAATGGAATAGCTTCCAAACCCCAACAAAGAGAGAGATATAATTGAGTATTTGTAAGAAGAAATTACTCATATTATTGAGAGAAGAGTGGAAGGAACAACTATGGCGGCAATACACAGCTGTTCTTCCTCCTCCTCCTCTCTCATCCTCAGATTTCTAATCTCTGCTTCTCTCTCTCTTTTCTTCCTTTTCAGCTCTTTCAATAATGGATATGCTTTCGAAAGAAGACAGACCACACAAAAGCATCAAAATATTCAACACACTACTCATCATACTATTCAAATTACCTCTCTGCTACCGTCCTCTGTGTGTAGCCACTCTCCCAAAGGTTAATTTATATTCACACAACTATATACAACTCTCTTTCTATATCTATACACACACACACACACACACACACACACACATACACATATGTTTACAGGTATAAACATTCATATATGTGTGTTTTATTATTTAGAGAATTATTTGGATAACTGTATGTCATACACACACACACTACAGATACTGGATTGAAGTTAGAGTAGAGTCTAGTCTAATGCAATCTTGTTTTTCATCTCTTCAATTTGGATTAAATAGATTTATATTATACATATAGCAAATTTGTAAAATTGATTTATGCAACTCTGGTTTACGGTAATTTCGGGTTTTTGATTTATCAACTTTGTACAATTGATTTATTCCTGTTGAAAGTTTTGTTCAAGATATTTGAAAAGAGAAAAATATATATCAATTTTAAATTTTTTTAGTGTTTGGTTTTTATGGGCTAGGCCTAGTGCTTGGTCTTATCTCTTTCTGAATTCTTTTGTTTTGAGGGTATGCCTTTGCATTCTCATACATATTCTTTTTCCCTGTTTATAAAATTCTCAATTTTAAAAAAAAAAAAATATATATATATATAGTAGAAAAATAAAAAGAAAAACAATTCAATTATGGGAAACAAACTCAAATGTGCCAAATGTTCAACGGTGGTCCTTTCCTAGAGAAAAACAAAACACAAAAACAAAAAATCCCACCCATATCTCTTTTATTGTTCTCAGTTTGTTTTTACCATTGAATGTTGGTTAACTTTTTGGAGAATGCTTGTATTATTTTAAAATTAATAATAAATAATTCGAGAGTCACACATTTTAGAATTATAACATAATGATGATGTCACCAACTTCGGCCCTTTCTATTGCTCAGCAATTTAGGTTAAATTATTACTTTCATTTTTAATTAGGATCTAAGTAAAATCACACACTAATATAATAATAGAAGTATAAAGATAGATAGATATAATATATATATATATATATATATATATCACTTTCAACGAAAAAGATGGACAAGAAGATTGATGAGAATCCCTTGGTGTGGAGTCAGACACAACCTTCTAGGCTACGTACCATCCAAAATGATGATCATGTGGTATATAACAAACTAATTGCCTTTAGGAAAGGGTCGATCTGGTTACTCATATCAAACCATATGTCTAACTTTGTTTTCTGTACTTTTTAAAACAATATAAAGTGCATGATGGCCCCTATAGGGCAAAGAGAGTGAAATATGAACTTCCTTTTTGCCTAATTTTTTGGCATCCCTCCCAGTAATTATAACTTTTCGTACGTTTTTGTTATAACATCATATAATTAATGAAATTCACTATCACCCGTATTCATTCACGTAAATTTTGTAAATATCAAATTCGGTCATTAGATCATTATTTCTTTGTTATCAATCTTTGATTATTTTTTCACAAATATATAAAAAAAAATATATATATATATACATAAATTTTGTAACCACCGGTCATTAAATCATTATTTCTTTGTTATCAATCTTTGGTTATTTTTTCACAAATATATATATATATATATATATATATATATATATTATATATATATATTATACTCTACAACGACATATATCATTCAATTTTTTAAAAATAAATCTCAAAAGCTTACAAAATAAAAAGTTATTTTTAAAAAACTATAACAGACAATTTTATAAAAACATACATTTTCATAATTGCGTTTTTCAAAAAATTGCAATCAAATAATTTTTTGTACAATTTTTAAATTTTCGTTCCCAAAAAATTAAACTAAATAGGCATTAAGTTTTTTCATGTTATGTCTGCATGGCAAGTTATCTTACTCAACATTTTTAATAATTGAAAAAAGCAAATTGCAATTCACGAGTGCACAATTTGCAGACACTTGTAGTGGATGATTATATATATATATATATTGCAATTAACTTTGTATTTGTTATTTTTTGCAGCTTATATATATATATATATATATTGCAATTAACTTTGTATTTGTTATTTTTTGGAGCTTTCCCTTGATGAAAAAGCAATTACTTTTATATGAATGTGCTCTTATCAATTAGCTCTTAAATATATACATATAATTTATAATATTTTTTTGGCTTATATATATATATATATATCAGATCACAGCAAAGGGGCATCTATGAAAGTTGTCGACAGACGTGGACCCTGCTTTCAAACAAGTCAAGACAAGGCCAAAGTTCCAACTGATCTCACTCAGATCCTATCTCATGACCAGTCCCGAGTCAACTCAATCCACACTCGACTCGGCTTCAACTCGGGCAAAAACAGTTTGGAGGACTCAGAGGCCAACCTCCCAGCCAAGTCCGGCAGCTCACTGGGTTCCGGCAACTACGTCGTCACTATTGGACTCGGAACCCCAAAGAGAGACCTGTCGCTCATTTTCGACACCGGCAGCGACCTCACCTGGACTCAGTGCCAGCCATGCGTCCGAGTCTGCTATAAACAGCAAGAACCCATTCTGGACCCCTCCAAGTCCACCACATATTCCAACATTTCATGTAACTCGGCAGTGTGTTCTCAACTCAGCTCCGCCACCGGTAACTCACCGAGTTGTTCCGCCTCCGCGTGTGTTTACGGTATACAATACGGCGACCAGTCATTCTCCGTCGGATTCTTCGGGAAGGAGAAGCTAACCCTAACCCCCACCGACGTGTTCGACGGCTTCCTCTTCGGCTGCGGCCAGAACAACCAAGGACTCTTCGGTGGAACCGCCGGGCTGCTAGGGTTAGGCCGGGACAAGCTCTCCGTCGTGTCCCAAACTGCTCAGAAGTACGGCAAGTACTTCTCCTACTGTCTTCCGTCTTCGTCGAGCTCCACCGGACACTTAACGTTCGGGAAAGGTGGAAACCCTAGTGCCCTAAAGTTCACCACCTTGGTCTTGAACCCACAGAATCCATCATTTTACTTCATCGACATTGTGGCGATAGCCGTCGGTGGAAAGACATTACCGATCAATAAATCGGTTTTTTCAACTGCGGGGACGATTATAGACTCCGGCACGGTGATAACCCGGCTACCACCGGACGCTTACACCCCCTTGAAGTCAGCTTTCCGGCAACAGATGAAGGGTTACCCGATGGCGCAACCGCTTTCGATATTGGATACTTGCTATGACTTCAGCAATTACAACACTGTGAACATACCTACAATAAGCTTCATCTTCAGCGGAAATGCGAGGTTGGATATAGACCAGTCCGGGATACTCTACGCGTCGAGTACGTCGCAGGTGTGTTTGGCTTTCGCCGGAAACAGTGATGCCGGTGACGTGGCAATTTTCGGGAATGTGCAGCAGCAGACGTTGGAGGTGGTGTATGATGTTGCTGGAGGGAAGCTAGGGTTTGGGCATGGAGGGTGTGCTTGAATATGGGAAAAATGAAAGAGGATGAATATTTGAATATTAGGGTTTAAGAAACACGTGACAAAGATGTTTTAGGCTTGAAAAAAAAAAAATGATGTGTATTGTCTATTTGTTAAAGCAATATGTGGAAAATAATATGGACCAAAAAAACATGGTCGATAAATGTGTACTAATAGACAAAGAATGTTTTCAAGTAATTTGAAGATTCGACTTTGGCGATATATGTAGCATCTTGTCTCTTGCATGGTCTTCAAAAGATGTAATTAGTACTAAAGTTTGACAGTCGGCAATTTGAATTGTATTTATGTAAAATTTGATCGCTGGATAATTCGAAGTGTTTTGATACAAGTACGTGAGCAATTCGGACTATTTTTCTATAAGTAAGAACTGTTTTATCATTAATGTCATCATCAAGTACTAATATATATATATATATATATATATATATATATATATATATATATATTTATGTTAAGATAAATGATAAGTGAAGATGAAATTAATAGTTGTTATATATATAGTTGGTTGGTTTCCACTATAATGAGTGATAGAGATAAGGTTGTGGGAAGAAGTTGTTATGGGATTACATCAATTGTTTGTTAGGTGCAATGACACTTTCATTTTCAATATTTTTTATTGATTTTTGTGTGGTTGTTACGTGAGCTTTGTTGCAATCATTTGTTGGATGGCACTAATGTATAATGATGGTTGGTGCGGTCGCGTGGGGTTATTGCTAATGGATCATTTGGTGGCACATGAATTGTACTAGTATGAAATTTAAGTCAAAATGAGTGACCAAGTGCTTTTCTAAAGTAGATTTCTTTTTTATGATTATTATGGTTAGTTATCATATTTGAACTCCAATTCTCACCTTTTGATATAATTAAAATCTAAATGTTCAAATTGAATGCTAGATGGTAAAAGGAGCCCAAAAAATAATAAAATAAAATCAGTGGGAGTGACTCTAAATAATACGGAGTAAAAAAAATAAAAAATAAAAACAAATCTAATTAAAATAAATATTTAAGAATTTGACTACAAATTCGTGTTATGTTTGTGAGTATCGAATCCATGACTCAAATTTGAAGTTAACTTTATTATTAACACCTCTAGACATTCTTCTCTCTCCCTCTCTCTCTCTCTATATATATATATATATCAACCATGTTATCATTCAATCTCCGATTCCATTATGCAATCAATTGTCTGTTTATTCAAATAATCTACGAATGGAATTGTGAGCAATGGAGGGAGAGAAAGTTAGGATGGGGATGAGAATTTTTTGTTTCCTCTTGTCGGGGTGTGTGTGTGTGTAAAAGGGACGATATAAATGTATAACTTGAGTCGGGGAAGAATATAAGGAGAGACAAATATAATTTTTTTTATGCGTGATTTGAGAGTGATTATATTAGAAATTTATTGTACAAAATTGTCATTCCAAGTCGGAGCGCAACCCCCACGTCTAACACAAATGTCCCAACTCAATTGTTTTGGGTTCTGTTATGTCTCCTGCTATTGGAATAGTTGGGCCTGTTTTGTTTGCGGCTTTTTTCCTGTTTTGTTTTGTTCTGTGGGCCTGCAGGCTTTTTGGGCTAGATCACTCCCCTCCGTGTTTTTTTTTTTTTTAATAAATTTCTTTTATTAAATCTTTTTTTAGAAAAAAATATATATATATAGGCATGGTAAATGTATAACGGGCATGACCTAAGTTATACAGAGTGAGAATGGGAATGAGAAAATTCAAGAGCGAGAGTACAAAAACGATAAAATTTAAAATTTGCCCAGAGACGGGAGCACCTCCAGAGCAATTGTACACTTGTATGTTATTTTGTGTGTGTATTTAAAAAATATTTTTAATATTAATGGATATTCTAATTACTAGTATTTTTTATTTAAATAAAAGTGTGACCTGATAAATCTATATATTCATTCTAAATTCTAACAGATATTGTTTAAATTTTCTTACATGAAAGGATTAGTTTACAGTATAATAAGCTTGTTGACTAAATAAAGAACTAAAACTAAAATTTTCAAACATTTTTATTCTTAATTTTGTACAATTTTTAACCATTTTGTTCAATATTTGGTACATTTTGAGAAATATTATCCATAATAAAGGTTCGTGTAATTGTCGATAATTCAATGGATAAGAAATCGTCCTGAATTCAAGGATTCCTGAATTGACCCAATTGAATTAGTGAATTGGGAAAGAATTTGCTTTAAAATTGTGTTGTATTCAATTTAGATCATTTAGTAAAATGACAAAAATATCCCTACGTATTTTCTTCTTATATTTGACTTGTAGTATCGATCAGTTGACCTTAAAGATCAATCTTCTACAATAAATAAAGGAGATGTTATTATGCGACTGTGTGTCATACCTTCTCGTGTGGCCTAATATGAGTTCATAAATGATGCATAAATACCCATCCACAAAATACTACAATAACAAGCACAGAAAACTATATATATATATATATTCAAATGTAATAATAAACTTTATTCATAAATTAAGACTTCAAGTTTGGAACAAGTAGCATATAAACGTGTACGTTCTACCATTGATCTTCAAGTTCATGATCAAGTGCAAGGTCCATTGCAGTAGCAGAACTGTTGTCTCCCAAGGCAGTGACCACCAAGGTGACCTTCATTCTTGCATTCTAGGTCGCATCCACCCACCACCTTGCAATCCGTCTTATAATTATGGCTCAGTGTTTGACAATACTTTGTTGCCTCTTATAATTAGGTCTGCATTTGCATCACATACTTCCATTAGAATACTACTACGTTGCCCGACTAACTCATGAGATTGATTAGGTGACCACTCTCACAAAATCAGATTGATTAGGCGACCACTCTCACAAAATCATATGATGCATTAAAGTTTGTCTCCGATTCTATCAATCAATCAATATGAAAAATAAATAAATAAATAAAATAAAATAAATCCATTTATGTTTGTTATTACTATATTCAAAGTCATTAAATTTTTAGAACTAACTTGCCACGAACCCAAAGATGTAGTCAACAATTAAAGATAAAAGAAAGAAAGTGAAAAGATGTATGTGAGAGCTTGACTTAGGTCCTATGACCTCCACATCTCCTTTGGGCATGCCAAAGAGTTTATGTGAAGTGGAGAGTAGTTCAAGCACAAATCTAGCATGCTTACGTGACCAGTATATATACTTCTTTCAAATTTTATATTAAAATATTTGAAAAAAATAAAAATATATATATATATATATATGTATTGGAAAGATAAAGTTAATTTGTAATGTTCATGCTTCAAAAATTCTAGCAGATGTCTCGATAGCTCAGTGGTTAGTGCCTCTGGTGGATTTTGGGAGTGTCCGACTCTTTGCACCTACTAATCTAACTTCTAACCCTTCTTGCCTTGTTAAAAAATAAATAAAATAAAATAAATAAAAATGCTTCAAAAATTCTAAAATGAAAGGTCGTTACAGAGAGAGAGAGAGAGAGAGAGAGGGAGGGGGGGGGGGGAGCACCAGAAGCCAAGAGAAACAGGAACAGAAAGAGGATCCCAAAGAACTTCCTGTTGGCCATGCTGTCCTTCTCCTTAATTGAAACTGTGTATAATCCCCCAACTCACTGAACCAAGTAACCTCATCGATCTGTCCATATGCATGTTTATATATATATATATATATATATATACACATTAAATTGCCATATATATATATATTCTAACAGTGCAGGTAATTTTTTAACATTTTTTATTTATTTGTTTTATAAAAATTCTAATTAAGTGACATAAAATTATTTATACCTCGTTAAAGTAAATAATGATTTAATGATTTGTATTAATCTCCTAACCCTTTTAAAATTCTAATCTATATATTTATTCTGAAGTATAAGAAATTTCTTAATATTTTTTATTTAGTTTTTCACAAAAATTCTCATTAAATCACATAAAACTATTCATACCTCGTTAAAGTACGTAATGATTTAATGAAATGTATTAATCTCCTATTTAAGGGGTGGCAAAATGGGTCATCACCCACCAACTCGCCCAGTATGTTCTTAAATAGATATAGGTGAAACATTTTAAAATATAGATCAAAATGGGTGACATATATTCAACCCATTTTATCGAGGGTTAAATGGGTTGAATATAGGTCACCCATTTTGACACATGTTTCATCCATTATATAAAAGACACAATTTCACATTCTCTATTTGTCTCAAATTTATCTCTTCTTCCTCTCTAAAATTCTCTAATACGATTCCAAATTCTCTCTCTCCCACTCTTTCTAAAATTCTCTATGCATCATCATTTTTCTCTCTAAATTTCTTTGTTGTACTATAATGTTGCTCTGTTACATTCGCAACATATATACAATGAGAATTTACAATTATAAATAAAATAATATAAATTTAAATAATTTTCAAAATAAATTAAAAGATTTACAATTATCGATATATATTTTTACAAGCTTTTATCCATCTGGAAAAAAAAACTATAATAATGAGATTGTCCAAAATAATAACATATCTTTTTCTTAAAACGGGTTAATAGGTCATAATCGGTTGATCCAACCCATTTTAATCTAATCCATATTCAACCCATTACAAGTAGGTTGAATATGGGTCACAACCCATATTTGATCATGCCCAAATCCAACCTAACTTGCCCGTTTGTCACCCCACTCTTATCCCTTTTACAATTCTAAAAAGGTCAAAAAAATATTTTATATATATATTTCATTTGAATTTATAATTAATTTCATCTATACTCACTAAAAACATTCCACTTTTTTCATAAATCCTTATCTATACACTTTATCTATCTATATTATTATAAAGGCATAAGCCCCACTCCTAATTTATTAATTTTTTTAAAATCAAAATTAGAAATTTAATAAGAGCTAATACCTTTTAAGGTTAAATTATCTTTATTAATTTATATTTTACATCACTTGTCTTTTCTTTGTTTCAAACATTTTTCATTTATTTTTCAAATCAAAATATCTCTTTAAATCACATAAAATTATTCATACCTCATTAAAGCACATAATGTTTTAATGATTTGTATTAATCTCCTATCCCTTTTACAATTCTATAAGGCAAAAAAATTATATTTTTATATATTTCATTTGAATTTATAATTAAAATCTTCTATACTCACTAAAAACATTCCACTTTTTTCATAAATCTTTATCTATATACTATATCTATCTATATTATTATAAAATCATAAGCC